CTTCACTTACCTCCTATTGTCCTCCAAAGCTACGGTCTGACTTATCTATGCGAAATTGACAGTCCCCAAAAAATCCGTGCCTTTCGTCCGTGCCTTCTCGTTACCCATTTACTGATAGCCCTTGTCGGTTTCCTTGTGATGCTTTGGTGTCCCTTAAACCTGCTGCCAACCCTCTTACCATTTTGAAGCGTTTCTTTGCTGAATTCGTTTCTCTTTAACCTTCTGTTTAATATCGTATGAGACCCATCTAGCAGTAACCAATATTGTAACAGTTCTCTCTACCAGTGATGCTTCTCTCCGTGTCAATGCTTTATACAGTGCTGTTGGGTTGGTTCACTATAGGCACTAATATACTTAGGGTAGGGCCTATATGAAGAGTACGTCCATTTTAGCTAGCAAAACTTTAGCTAGCATGTTAATTATATTAATGGCATAGCGTATCCGACACATGTTCCACAACATAGCATATTATCGAGTATTGTGCCCAGCTACTCAATGGTTCTATTTGGTACAACCCTATGGCAATGTAGGTTAATGCCCATGTTACCCACCTTTTTTTTATCCACTAACAGTTTCCAACTCCGCCCTTATTAACGTGTGCTCATTGATCCAAGTATCGAGTATGTACCAGATATCATTCATATTGGATTCAGGTTCACTTCTTGTTTCCACCTACCATTACCTCGACTGCAAGGTCGTCAGCAAACGCCAGAAGCTTAACCAAGTCTAGATAGTCGTGTAGCAGGATGTCATCGTGTCTCACATTTCAGAGGACGTGGCTCACCACCGAGTCCTGAAGCGCTCCCTTAAACATACGATACCTGGTTCTTCCATGCGCTATATACCTGTCATTTAAGCAACTTGCGACAACCCTACTCAGATAAGGCTCGACTTGCCTACCTTCAAGGTTTTCCGTGATGGACCTCCATAATACTATGTTGAACGCACTTCTGATGTTCAATGCCATTAACACGCACTCTCCTTTTTTACCTTGTTTTCTCTATCTCGCCCTTTGCCGCTTTGAGTACGGCCGTGGCAGCATCGCTGGTCGATGCTCCTTTATAGGCCAAACTGGTTACTTGGAATAAGTTATTTAGTATTGTTTCCTTTGGTCAATCTATTGGCAACAATCTTTTCTGTGATTTTATCGACCACATGTAATAAACAGACCAGCCCACAGACAGTTTGAACTTGAGCTTCACGGCTCAAGTACGAGACGTAAGATACGAAATTACAAATTGTTGGGTTGTTTTTGTCTTTAGTAAATTTATTCATCAATGTAAAATTAATTTCCACTGGTTATAACCCTGTCGTCCAGATCTCATAACTTAAGCAAACAGCTTTATATTCCGCCTGAATAATAATTTCTTTAAATTTAATTGCCCTAGTTTATTTCCCGAATTATCGTTTCAACAATCTATGCCACGAATTATCGCCAGTTAGAGCGATCTGGGCACTTCTATCGCTGGAGTGAAGGGGCTTTGATGTTACCTTCGCTGCAAATTCGCTATTTCGTTTGGGAATAGAGTTAACGCTAGTCCACTTGTCTTAGCTACGCCATAAGTTTGGCGCCATACATACATCGTTATAGAATGCATTAGAAAGTTCCATCTAGTGCTTAGTCCTGTGCCTACTAATAGGTTTTCATAGGTTGCTTTAGCCCATCGAGAGCCTAGTCCAGTCATGGTGCTGATATGAAGATATTTTCCTAATTACTAGTCTTCTCAATCCGATACGTAACTCGTATTTACTTACAATTTCTGGGTTCCAGCAGTATTTGGGGACATTTTAAGTCTTTCTACATTTTTCCGCTAAATATATTTAACATTGCTGTCATTTTTCTTATTACTGAATCTCGTTGCGTCCAGCTAATTCATCCTATGATTTTATACAGTTTATCCAGATCGGGACAGAAAATTGACTTACTCCTCTCAGCGCAGCGTTTCATGCTGTATATATAGGCTGATAGAAATAATATGATTCTCGATACGTTCTCAAGATCAGCTTGACCGCCTAACCAACTATATAATTTATGATAGTGTTGAAAATAAGCGTGAACTTTTTCCCAGTCTTTCAAAGCGTTCCTGCTCGGCGAGATCTGCTTCAAGTTACCACTAAGAGGATACAACATTTGCGGAATATAACATTTGGAAATCCTTTTTATGCTTTTGTTTGGAAAATTGGCACAATATTGGTAGATCATTTCTTGACAGGAAAACCCTTCTGGGTCTTAGAGTTGTGCTGAACGGCAATGTCAAAAACCGATACAATAAATAAATAATAAACAATAAACCCAGATACTCTAAGCTACCAATGTTGCGTACTGAGGTGACCTTTACGGTCGTATAACTCAAGCATTACCGAAGGTCCGTGCTTGAGTAGTTATGCGTCATAGGAGTAGCAATATTAGAAGGTGCTTATCAATTGTGGGCATGATTATTCTTCATGCCCCTATATCTAGTATCATGTACAGGACTGATCGACAATAGCCATTTGCACTATTATATATTATAGACCACCACATGAATGCTGAACAATGAGTATGGTACAGATATAACGAGTTGTAACACGTTGTTTTTGTTGAAATTCCTTTTTGGATTTATACAGTAACTGACTAATTTCACACACCGTCGAGTTTGATCGAACAAAACATTTCAATGTGTTTTCTCATGTGTACGTCTCCTACCTTTGATCTCTACTGACGGTACATGTTGATAGCACTGTCTCAAGGGAAACATTTGAAAGCTGCTGTGGAAGGCAAGGCACCTAATGAGACGTATCGAGCAACGGTTATTCACCGTAGCACCTACGGAAGCACGAATTCAAATACCTGATTGCGTTTTCTTTCGTTGACGTAAATGATTCGAGATGTTCTACCTAGTTGATAAGAGCATCAACGTTATCCTTGCGACCATCGGTCGTTTTGCATTTAATTTCAATGGTTTTTAAACCAGACTGTAAAGAGATTTCAGAGAAGAGCAACGGACTTGTACAGCTATACTCATATATAAGAAAACGGTAAGAAATAACGACAACGATGGAGCGGAATATCGAAATTTGCAGTTGCCAATGTAGCTTAGACGATACAGGATGAAGTGGCTTTGTCCTTAAGAAAAATAGGACACAAAACTTGGGAGCGGGTTTGACAGAGCTACAAAAAACCGATTTGCAAGGATTTCTGAACTATGTCAGAAAGTAGCAGAGCTCACAGCTACTGCTCCTATAAGAACTCTTCAACGTTGTACCAAAATAGTGAGTAGTTTTAGCTGCCGTAAACCAGACAAAAAATACGCCTAAACTGTGCACAGGGGCATGCATGTTTCAAATGGGCTAAAATATTCCGAAATGGAACAGCTGAGGACCAAGATAGGGTTTGTTCTTCAAATGAATTCCATTTGGAGGCTTTTGGGCAGTACGGCTCAGCATCTCTGCAGGTATTCCGACGGAAGGTTTCACAAGTCCTAAGTAATTCAGCAGGTCGAACATTCGAGCAAAATAATGCTGTGGTGGGCCGTGATTTCCAACCATGGTGCAGAAGTTCTATATTTCAACAACGCTACTATGAAAAACGGCAACACAATGAGGTAATTCAGAGGAAAAATGTTGGCTCAGAGATGAAAGCTGGGAAAGAGATGAAAGAAAGGTTCGGGATGGGGCAAATACTAATTTCAATAAGTGCCTTTTCTTCCACTGCAGTTGAAAAATGTTTATTTGGCGACAGTGACGCCTGGCAACTTCCACATAAAAAAAAAAAACCTCTAGATCTCGTCTGCAAAATGCTCATGAACAACGGATATTCTTTAATAATTTACATTTATTTCGGAACTTGGTATAGAGCCATCTACAATTGTATTCGCAGAGTTAAGGTAGTGAGAGATCCTTCAGTTTTTACAACATCAGGCGTACATTTTTAATATATAACCAATAAAAGAGCAATAAAAAGCGCAAATATTGAAAACTTATTTGAGATCATAGATCCATCCAATGATCACCTTTTCCAGCTTGACCGCAAGTACTTACCAGCCCAGCGTGAAGGGCTCCTGCACCCTTCATCGTTCATAACGTAGATAGCACCAGAAGAATTCTGATGAATGAAACTCTCCATGGAGCTTCGCTGGGCTGCCGCGTATCCGATACGTTGGAGACGAACATTGCGATATCAGACTAGCGTTTCAATCTATTACACATATATACATACATCAACCTGCTCCAAATACTCTCGCAATCCGTTCTCTTGCTGCATACTGGATTAATAATGTTCCAAAAGATCATTCTTCGTCTTTTTATATATAGTACATTGTGTAAATTTATTCTACGATGTATGTGCTTCTGCTTTGGATTATAGTCGAAATATTTATAATGTAAAACATATTCAAAATTCAGAATATATTGCTTAAATAATTTTGAAGTATGCATATATACACAACATATAGACATGCAACTTAAGTAGAACTTAAGGCACCCGTCATTTTAATTTAATACTACCACAATTGTATTTAGAAAGAACTTGATTATATGGAATCATGTTACAAGTGATTCTATATAACCAAGTTATTTACGAAGCAACATAGGACTACCTATAACACTGACAACGCCTCTATGAAACGTAAGTTTGGAAATAAAAAAAGAGCTTACAGAAAATAAATGTCCACTCAAATCGAGCGCCTTTTACATATGTATGTGATAGGTAAAAAAAAAAAAAAAAGAGTATACCCCGAACCTCAGAAATTTGCATGCAGAAAAACGTGCATTCCCTTCTATCGAAAATTATCTGCTCGGCCTAAAGTCAGTTATCCTGGAAATAATAGAAATATCTATTGTCAGTTCATAGCGAAATAATTTTGCGTGAATGATCGCAGAAACGGATTTTTCATTTGCACTTCAAACAGAATTTTATATGACTAGATAGAAAGTATGCCATATATATAGTATGCTAAGTGTGATAGCTGGCGCATTCTTATTTTTTAGACAGTCATGTTGTTTGAAATAAAAGTATGTTTTTGTTTTGTTATGTTATATACATAAAAATTCGTATTCCGTAAGATAGCCTTACCATATGCCGCTGTATCTTACAGTTCCATGGAATTTACGGACATGCGCGGTAGCGCGTTGGAGAAATGTCGCGCCCTCCCAACCTCCTTTCCAAGACGGGTTCCCTCTTATTTGAACGAAAGGAACTGGCAGAAAAAGAATGCTGATTGTTACAAAGCCTGCTTCATTCAGTTTACTCGCCTTCATGTTTATACCTTGACAATGATGCATCTACATTGAGACAAGGATAATTTATTGTAAATAAAGAGCTGTTACGCGCTCATTTGAATCAAGGCTCAACAAAGGAGGTATTACTTGTACTGACAACCATTCCATAGCCACCTGCCCATGTTGCCCTGAACTACGATTACTGGCTAAATAGGGCTAGCGAAAGACTTTTCATTGCACGTGTCTAGATGACCAGCTAATGGTCCTGTTTATCGAAGTTAGCAGAGGAGCTAGAACTGCAATGGGCGATGTTTGTAAAGTTTATTCTTAGTCATTAGACACGGAATTATTAGACATAGCACGCGTAATGCGCTTAGCAGGCAAAGGCTTTCATAGCAAACACATGGCAACGGGTAGCTGAGATGCGCTAGTTCCCTTAGAAAATGACAAGCTATACATGACAGAAAATCGTTTCTATGAATAAATTTTGCGCAGCATTAGAAATAGCACTAAAATGTTAAGGACACCGGCAAAATAACTTTTAAAAAAACTATTAAACTTTTTTATTATACACATAATTAGTTTGAGATGTACAATATTCTACCTGACCTAGTGGGAAGTGGTGTAGGCACAAAACGTGACAGGCAGTTGGTGTTCCCAGGCAACATTGCAATTGTTGGTTCGGGTTAAGCTATCATTCACTAAGCACGTACAATTAGTGCTATACTGCACCCTTCGGTACCGCTGATCGTCCACACAGAACCGACTCATCTTGCCTCAACTACTGTGAAGTGTGCATTCTTTGCTTGTTAGCTTTCTTGATAATTCGTCTGCTTGTGCACTTTTCCATTGGTATTATACGCTTTTTCGACAACATACGTTTAATCCTGTTAGTTTTCTTTTCCTCTCTTTAGTCCCCCTTGCCGTCACCTCGTGTGACCACTGGCGCTACCGCCCCTATTACCAAAATCGAACGGAGAGACTGAGAGGCTAAGTGAGCAGCAGGCAAGACCATTCCACCAGAAAACGCATTTGAGGGTAAGCCGAAAGCTGCGAAAGCGCAGTACGCGCGCGTTTCTTACGGCCTTGTGCACACACTCGTACGCTGCTGCTACCCCTACCCCTAAGAGGCAGGTGCGCTTAGAGGTCCAGAGTAGAATGGTAGTGGGAAGAGGAGGCAAACTAGAAGCGAAGAGAGGAGAATTCCAGAAAGGCCGCATTTGGCCGTCGCTGATGGAGTTAGAAGATCAACGGCTTGGGTGGCGCCTGCTAGCGCTAGAGCTGCACATTTTCGAGCCCGTACCCCGATAAAAACGAACCCGAAAATAGCTGTTTGCTGAGCGAACGATACAATTGTTCAAGAATTACCCTCCCTGGAAATTCCTAGTGAACAACCTTTAGTGGATGCCAAATGGCGACCGATAATCTGGAATATGTCGATGGGAATTATACAACCGGTACCGTTTAGGTTGGTAACCCTGCGCAAGAGCACGGACATACGGTAACGTAAGCAGGGCATTGTTAGACAATTATTATACTAGTACCGTTGGCTTGTCATGAAGCCCATTTTAGATAACACCACAAGTATGGGTTTTAAAGCCATAGACAGCGAATCTATGGCAAAAAGATGTTGCTGTACGCACCGTAAAGAATCGATTTTATTCGGAAATTAAAATCAAAAAATCTTCGCGCTTTCTTTAATAAGACTTTACCTTTGGTACGAAATCCACCAATGTAAAATGGAAAACCCCTTCTTTAGGAAACCTAGCTTATATACTTAATAACCTGAAAGCTACTTAAAACAAGGATCGTTTGTCTCACAACTGAAATCATTGGACAAAAAAAATTATTAGATAAAGGTACCTCCAATCTAATTGATGTCCCATTTGCCTGGCAGCTAGGTAGGTATCCTATCCACTCGAAACAACGACCGTGTTAAACCTGCTGACTTGGTTTATTACGGACCCATGGCATTACAAACTCCCATCTGTAAATCAATTGTCTTATTAGTTAAAGCTCATAAAACCCTATTTGTGGGCATAATCAGCATCGACGTCAGCGTTTGATTGTGTGCAGAAGAACAAGCAAAACCTGAAAAGAGATAAAAATAAAGGCCAATTACTTGCCGCAAGTAACTAAGCCGTATTTAATTTCTTTATATTAATTGGCACAGAAAGCGCCTGAAAGCATTTAAAAACTACGTTGATAATGAATAACTAAATATGCTTATACGGTAAACTTAAACAATTTATTTTAATAGATTGAACGAGGTTCGAGTGTAGTTAATAATCGCCATATGGTCTAAAAATTTCAGTTATATCTATGTTGACAAGGCCAATATTTAGCTCGATTGTATTTGGGAAAGGGAGAGGTAGTATTTGGGAAACAATATGACTCTGCTTAGAACAGCCCAATTTTTATTAACGGATTTTTGACATACATCATGCGCGTTTTTTCCGTAGCATGAATTAAGCCTTCATATATGTCAACAAGAATTACCACTTGTCCTAGAGCTCGTGAAAACACGGAATGTATGTCTCCTTCACGAGAAGACTATTTAATAATCACTATTTTCCATATAGTACATCTATAATATTTATATTATTATTATATTTATATATATTTTATATAATATCTATAATAACTATAAGCTTACCGATATGCGCAAATCTAGAACAGAATAGAACACAACCACTACCCAAATACACTGGTGTATACTCATGAAAAATATTTATATTTGGAAGCATACGTATATTGTATATGTCAGTCGGTTGCCTCTATTTAAATATTTTTAATTTATTTCATGTTTGCTTTCGATAAAGATGTTTAATTTTAAACAACTGTATGCTTAGATAAATATTTCTTTTCTTTCTAGGACGACCCTAGGGAAAACATACACTAATATTCTAGCAATATATTCGACATGTATTTATGAAGCTCATCAAAATACTGTCTAGATAACGTTTTACTCTTCTCTTCATTCTTGGTTTACTAAGCGGCTTCGATCAACAGGCAACCTAAGTACGAGCTATCAGTTATGTTACAACCATCCGATGATTATTACCAGCAGGCTCGCTGATTAATTTTTTATTTTTAATCTTTAAGTCTGCACAAGTAATAGCACTCAGTGGCCTGCTTAGGTTCGCTCCGAAGAAACTGGTGACGAGCGAATATTAGTCATCGAATGCTTCACGTTCACGTTTAATTTTTACGACGTATTACTTTTTGTTGATACGAAAACCCATACACACCTTTTGGTACAAACGAAAATACCGTATATATATAATGAAAATATAAAGAAAAAAACGAAGAATTTCTGTCTATTCACAAGCTGCTTGGATACAAAGGACAAACTTTATTCACGAATTTGGATACAAAGACATACTTCATTCACCGAATATGACTTATATACATATGGATACAAGGACGTATGGATATATTCCGAGGTTTCAAATTGAAAAATCAAAAATGTGTTCATTTTCAGTATTTCTTCAGATAAGGATAGTTGAAAAATCAAATTGAAAAATCAAAAATGTGTTCATTTTCAGTATTTCTTCAGATAAGGATAGTTGAAAAATCAAATTGAAAAATCAAAAATGTGTTCATTTTCAGTATTTCTTCAGAACGGGCAAGGTATAGATCTAGATCCATACGAAGCCATATTGTTATTAAATGGCCATTTTAGATATCGGTCTGACGTCATATATGCCACGATGGGTGGCAGCGCTTCGAATCTCGCGGTATATGCTTTGAGATTATCCACCCCATGAAAAAGCGTTGGATCGAATACACTCAGCTGGAAGAAGATTTCATAACAAAGAAAATCAACGTACGTGAGTTTCTCGCCAGCCATCCACTTCCTGTCGCCTAGGAACGCTGAGAACTGCTTAAGCATACTTCTAAACTTCTCCGTCCTCTCGGGCTTCAATTCGCTACATTGTGGTTCGGGGGTGTACGAGAAACGAACAAACTCATTGCGAAGATCACAAAGCTGTTGTTCCGCTAACTCGCAACGAGTTATCTCCGTTTCGTTCGAACCGATAAGGTCGTACTTACGTCCAAGATAACGCATAATAGCATGTGTCTGAGTCAGCCTAACGTCACCATCGATTAGGTATGGCAAGTTTGGGAACGCTAAACCATAAGGGTTTTTTGCTTTCTCATCGAACCACTCTTTCTTCTCGTAGTCCGGCGCCGGACCAGTGTAGTATCGTTTATCCTCGAAATCAGCACCGACATAACTCAGCAGAAGCCGGCAAGGCTGGCCGAGGCCTCTAATCTCCCAGTATCCAAGAAGAATCTTCGGAGACCCCATTCTTTCGCCAACGATGCTACAGACCAAAGTTCCACGGCACACGCCTGACGGAATCGATTTACTGAAACGGAAACACTGGTGCGCGATAATGAATTGACGAGCGTTTATATACTGGTCGCGTTAAAACCTATTGTAAACGGACGAAAACAAAAATGGCGCCAGCTCAAATCTAGTACCTATTTATTATGATTTTCTATAATTTCCAGTAACTAATGCTATTTGTTACATCACTACAACTATATTCGAATTGGCACATCGAGTCAAGCATACCGTCTGCTAAAGAAGTAAAATCTTATAATAAATTTCTAGAGACTGGAGGCCATCAATAATTTAAATTAAAAAAAAAAAAACATCCACTTATGAGAGTCCAAATACGTTCTACCCCAATAACAAGACTGAGAATATGTTCTCAAATGTTAAGAACACCCTGAGGAACCTTTTTACAAATTGCAGAAACTATGACACCTTATTAGATTATAAGGTTTTGTGATCTTCGAAGCTGACAACAACGAAGAAAAATGCTGTTATCGATAAATGATGATGTTAGGCTAGAGTATATGGCTAGAATGGCGTTGTAGCCTGTGAATAACAACGAGTGAAAGCGGCCCGCGCGAGTGTCCAAGGTATTGATTGTTATGTTTGTCTCGTCGTGCGTCAAATGGCGGAATTGAGGCGCTAGTTAAGTTAGTAATAATCACTAATGATCATGTAGCATTGTAGGTAACGACGGACTGAAAAGCTTTTAGAAGCCACTAGTTTGTATTGCGCATTTATTTCAGTGTGGAAACTGGCTGTACAATTGTGCGGCGAAGTTACGGTCGGTATTTTCGATTTAAATATATTTAAAAAAAAAAAACTAGATTCTGGAAGATCTATACTTCGTAACACTGTAAACAGTGAAAAAAAAAATCCATCCTAGTTTAATAATTCAGTAGTATAAAATAATAGAACGCGTTATAATAGATATTTGGTGTTTAATCTGACACTTACGTCTGTCTACAGTTCTATGATATTGATACGATAGTAATATTTCCTAGAAATGCTTCACACTGAAGAAGTTCACACAATGGCCAATACATAAGACGTTTTTTTCAATGAAATTATTAAGCGATTTAGCGACGAGCACGAATAGCAATTGTTGGGCTGAGTCCACCGAACGAGAAAGTTTTACACAATGTAAAACTCATATTTAGCGCGTTTAAAACTGACAAAGGTCGACAAAAGAACGAGTTGAGAAGTTCCGTCTTCTCGCCGTTGCTTAATTTCTGGCATTATTGGCTACCATAAGGTGAGCATTTGCAGGAAAGGCTTACTACGTAGTAACCTACGACCATAGACATAAACACACTTGATGATCGCACGCTTTTATCGCCCAGAACGCCGTATGCGCGAAGTTTTTATCCCAAAAATCACTTAGTTTTAAGGTATTCACTTTACGCCAACGATTTACTTTTTCAAGCCTATGGTGAACCTGTTTTGATGCTGTCTTGCATGCCCCCTACTTTGGTCATCTTTAAAAATGTCTAATTACATTTTTCTAATTCTGCAACGATTATCATATGTTTATCCTTTTGGATCCTGACCCTTATAGCTAACATTGATGATCTTCTCCAGTTCCCAAAGACGGTGCTTCGCCTTGAAATTAACCACCCCAGGTTTTTGTCTGACAAAAAAGTTGCAAAGATTTTTTATTATTAAGTATTAAGGTGTTAGACATTACGTCAGAGATAGGGACAACAGTAAGTGTTCTGTTTTAAATGCAGTAATTCAGGCCCCTAATTCTCTCTGGCTCCGATTTACTGCAATTTAGATCGGCGACAATAACGCCAAAGCTCAGTTTATGATAATCGGGCGTTACGAGCGTCACGATATTGAAACGTACAACATAGGCTAGCTCTATAATAAGCCAATGCTATCAAATCGTTTATATCTAAATCGCAACTGGAACGTTAACGAAAGAAATCAGGGTTGTTTCGTAGATAATATCTGTAAAGTTGGAATAACGGTTTTGGAGTCTACGTTACAGATTAGATTACTCTGTCGGACCTATAAAAACTAAGCTTCTCCTGTGGTTTTGCCATTCACGACATTTTCTGGCAATTCTAAAGATGCAATAAATATAATTTTCTCATTTGAAATTTTTAGCAGTCTTTACAGACGACACGTACTAATAACGACACTTTCTTTATACGTTGAACTTTTTTTACGCAAAAAAACTTGTTTTTCATATTGTCCAAATTTACCACTGTAAAGTATCTATAAACAAAACCAGGATGCCGACGGGGCTTATCCATCGAGGACGACGGACCGCATACGTTTAGATGTAAAAGAGGCTTGTAGAAAAGAAAATCACTATCCGTGTATTTTAGTCTAAGCTATCCAACTGTGGTCGTCTGAGATCCCCGAAACCGTTTTAGGCATTCCGGTGAAGTTCTAAATACTTTCGAACCTGATTTTGCCCCACTCCGGTTTGGGAGTATACATTGAGTCAGTGAAAAAATCACGTAGATCAAAATACTATTGCCCGGCTCGATTGTAATTTCGAACTCGAGTTACTTAGCCCCCGATAACGTGTAATCGTGGCCGTTTGGATTAGGTTGATGTGTCGAAAAGATACAGCAGATCAAGGAAGTACATGTCGGATGGATTACTGGCTTTCTCGGAGAGCCGTTCTTTTTTTAATCGCAATCGGAAACAAGGTCAGTTTAGTACCGTTTATCTGAAGCACTTTCGGCGACGAATTATAATAGAAAGCGAATTGACTGGGTAGAATCATTAGAAGATTCGCTTTCTATTATAATATATATTAATAATAATATATTCAAAGATAATCTCAGCAGCTTGGAGTGACTCTTACAACTTAGTTACTGTTATAAAACTCATAGATATAATGAAGGAATCTAATTCTCCGATGAAAATTGTTTCTATAAATAAAACCTTACTCCGTAACCGTATCACTGTATCGTAGGTACTCTCTGTGGCAATGAGCGCATAGATCTTAGCCTTGATTTTAGGTTCCATTAGCTCTTATACTACTATGGGATTTTACGAAGGGTCAATTTGTCACTCAACTTAGCACGTAACTAATTCAACCACTGAATCTTATAATCATACCTAATACTTGTTCGTCCTATGTTCAAGCGAATGCACGTTTTAATAATAGAGTTTTGTATTTCAAAAGCCAGGGACAAAGGTAGGAAGTTATCTTAGAGCTTGAAAAAGTTTAACATCCCTTCCTTTCCGACCATTGTATTCTATGTGGATTATTTTGCGTTATTATACGAATACGTTGGAATTTGTGTTTACAGTTACAAAAAAAAACAAAAAAAAAAACACCTAGAGGCTTATCATAGGAACAGTCAAAATTCGATTAGCTTTTCCTAGGTTTACAAAGTTTTTTAATATTCAGTATTTCTTAAAACTGACACTATGAATTTCTTAAACATAACGCCGGAGTAATGCGGCTGTTTCAAAAAAAAAAAAACTTAGAAAGCTGCTTGCTCAGCACCAGCTATTTAAGGTCCTATAATTAAGCTCGACTAACGCCATTTCCTAATAACTGGTAGACGCTCAATACAAACGTCTCAATGTTCAACTAGGAAAAGGTCGGGTATTCATTTTTTACCAATGATGGTATTAGCTTAAAATGAATGTGGCATATGTTGTTGGTTGTGGAGACATCTGCGTAGGCTACTTTTCGTATGCATCCTTGCTGAATTGTGCCTCACTTTCGCTGTTGGACGACATGTCAGCTGCTACTCACAGAGAACGTCCCCGAAGGACTATCACACTATTTGTTTGACAAAAACTTATGTTAATAATTACATCAAATACGGCCCTTCAATTTGAATCTCTCAGGAAATAGGAGAGTAACTCTCGCTGTTAGTAATCAAATCAATGTATGAGTGTGTGCTGTGTAAATCAAAAAAAAAAAAAAATAAGGATATTATTAGTTAGATTTTTATCATCAAAAATTTCTTCAATGATAGGGAAAATATTTAGCCTTTGTATGTATTAGACGGATATTTTATAGTCGTTTCGTATATGAAATTTAAAATAATAAGCGTTAGTCAAAATGGTGAGCAAATGATCATCTGTAACATTCTCCACGAGGGTTATATAGACCGAAAGCGACAACGTATTAATTCCCGAGAGTCCTGGAAGACAATAAATATGATATCGGTATATGTCGATGTGTCTCTGAGGCCACCACGAAAACCTCTGGTAATCACCAACGTCCGCTAGGTTGCCCTAAGGTCGGTATCTTTGATGATTGCTCATTTCGTTCAATCAATATTAAAAAAAAAAAAATAATGAAACCATATGTATGCTAGACAGTGTTGAGGTCAGCTGGCCTGACCGGCGAAACAATACTGAAACAGCGTTGAAGTATCTTTTTTTTCTTCTATGCAAAAAATAATCGTTCAAGTTCATATATGCTATATTTAGAAAACAATTAATAAAACGCGTTTTGATTTTATGACATAAGAAATATTGTTGACGCATTTGATTAGCCTTAAACTTTTGTCATGTCTTTCATCATATTCACTAGACTTATTTCAATTAGGTTTAAAGTTTCTGTTTGTTAGTTAAGCTTTACAAATAATGGCATACCTTCAAGATGTCTTTATTTGTTAGCATGCCTGTTAGCGTGTCACACGAATACCGTTGTTGTCCATACGGTGGCGCAGGCTATTGACTTTGTAGTGCACGATCATACAGAATCCGACTGACGCTTGCACGTACAACATTGAATTTATGTTGTCCTGTTCGGTTAATGAAGCTGGTAAAGTCTTCTAACGTAAGAGTTATAAATCTACTTGCGCTTGCTTTATAACCAACAGCCTATATAACGTAAGCAATGTTCGTTGCAAATTTTAGTCATTGCTATAGTTCCAAGCTGTACGATAGAGAACTGTTTCATTGACCTCTTTTTAGAATTCAATTGTATTCTGGGGGCGGAGATTACGGCGCAACGTAATTCTACGGAATCTGAGGACGAGTGCCACGCTTATTTAGTTAATTCCGAATGAAGTCTGTGTGCCTTCTGCTGTAACAGTCAAGGTGAACTTTAGACTGTGAGTGATATGCTCACCGCTACCGTCGACGACTTCAACTATAGTTAACCTCTATGCCTTAGCGGGGTCGTACTGCACGTAATTAGTCACTGCGCGCCGCGCTGAGGTTCTAACTATAGAAGGTTGTTAGCAAATATTTGACCATTATAATTGTCTCAGTGAATAGCGCGAGCAGGAAATCTGTGGGCGAAAAACTCTACAACAGTTGCATGAACCTAACAGTGCACGCCGCGTGCTCAGTTCTATCATTAAAGCCGCTTCTACATTTCGATTTCAGCGCAGTAACGCCCAGGCTTTTTATAGGTTGAAAAAATAATCCCATTGAAATTGGTCGAACGTAGTAAACTAAAAAAATCTGTCTTTTTACGACATTTGTCGGTGCGTTAAGCCGCATGGTACGGAGGGATGTGAAAACGTTGTGTTGCGTTATGGTAGTTATGTACAATACTTACAAAACGACGACCGCTATTAGTTTGTCTTAATAACTTGAATTCGTATAAATATTATGGGTGGCCAAAACAACGATGATAAGTTGTTCTTTGTCTCAGTAAGTTTGAAAAATCCGAAAATCTTTGCGGTTTTAAGCAAGTTTAGTAATTTAATGATAACTGTACTTAATTGGAGGTTTGATGACCAAAGTTGATGAACAATCAGCCTCAAAGTAGCGTGAAAAAATATCCATGTTAATAGAGTTATTGGCTCTTGCGTATAAAAATACATATGTAGATTATTCTATGGGACACACCCAAAATGGTCTAGAAAGATTTCAGAAGCTATCGAAGCTGAAAAACAACGCTTCGTTCCTGAGCTGTACCTATGCGCTTGGTATTAAGTAGCGTTCTATCTAATATTTGTGTACACTTTAGGAAAACGCTAATGATATATCTCACTATACGTCGCACACAAGCATCGTCTTTTATCCTTAACAACTTAATTCGTTCGCGTTAAAATTGGAACGTAAATTAGAATATAGAATTGCTACTAATAACTTTTTATAGAAGCTGCCTCACAGTTGAAGTTTCGGTATTCCATGAATATTAAATTGTAGTCGAAAGAACTTGATGCGGCCACGCATTGAATTGTTAAGGCCGAAGCGTTTGGTAAGTGCTAAAATTTTAAATTGCAGGATAATTAGCCTTGTTTTGCTTCTAATACACCTGGCTAACCTTTCAGGGTCGCTTCGTTTTGTTTAAACCTACGATACTTCATTGCGAACAACTGAAAAATTGTGGCACGCCAAACGGGTCTAGGACTTGCAAGTACCGAATAGGATCTCTCAAGGCCTGTAATCTCGTTAGAGAAATGAAGTTTCTTAGGAACCTACGATTGAGTCGTCCTAAATTGAGCCGTCTTAGGATTATTATTGTTAGTGCCATCCAATAGCCTGGCAAGTGAGCTACGCCTGCGCCAGATAAAGAAGCTTAACAAAAATAATCTATAACATGGGCATTGGAGCAAGGCCTGGTACTTTCACTTGAGACATATATGGAAATTAACTTGTCTAGTGTAACATCTCTATTTGTAGGACACCTCGAGCTGAACTGTACAGCAAATTACTGCAGAGTAACAGAGCCGAGCTACCTGAGTATACAACTGCCACACACGACTGAATCTACATAGAAGGAAACATAAAAGGACAACTAATATGTAATGATTAAGGCGCTTTAAGGTCTGTAAGTTCGAGTCAGAGTTGCTATACGGATTGTTGAAGTATCAAGGAAGGACTACGGCGCATTTGCATTTATTATAGAAACGACGTTGGTATCTTGCCTTTGGTAGGCTGTTTTTGGCATCTGTATTTACCAGTATTCAGCTAGAAAAACAAAATAGCCGAAACAAAAAACGCGGCGTTACTAATATGTCTCGAAATATCTACTTATATATAATTATATTCAGTCAGTTAATATGTGCAATTGAAAAAAAAAAAAGCAAATCGGAACATATATATGGGAAACAACGACAACGAGAAAAGTGGCACGTCTTGTAGTCTTACCGTTATTTCTGTGAATGTATAAGAAATGTGTGCCAATGAATTATTAGGTCCATAGATTATTTATGCTTAGAGTTTCAAGATGCTCTTGCTGATCCTGGGTAAGTTCGTCACTCGGCTAAGCTCTACAGATTTGACATATAACAATTTTCAAAAATATGTATCCATCACACAATGCGTGCAAGGAGAAGCCACACACGTACCGTGCAAGTTGTTCCTTACTTGAAAACATTCATTCCTCCATTTTCTACCTTGTTCAGCCACCATCTCTAACTACGCCTTCAAAGATCAGGAGCTGGTTGCCGCAACATTTTAGCGTTCAACCTTTATTATTTTCACCAGCATAGGATACTACGTAGTGTATATCTGAAACGGCAGCGAGGAGATTTCTTATACCTTCTACATGGTGTAGTTTTTGTTAGCAGTATTGCCTATGGCTGTGGATTTTGAAACTGACTGTTTTTTAGTCATCATTTTGCTTTTGCGTTATCAAAAGAATAGTCAATTAAATACAGACACATCACATAGAAGACACACAGGCAATTCAAAGTGCGCTTACATAAACACTGAGGATATACAAGTTTTTTTAGCCGCCTTTCAGTAACGGGGCAGACTTGCTTTCTGTAAGAACAATCGTACCGTATTAATAGTCATTGATGTAGTCGTTTCTATTGGTTTTACCTCGACAGGCTTCGTTTCAGTGAAGATGCTTAAGTTTGTAAATTCTTTCTATTCGCAAAGGTGTAATATCGAAAGCCAGCATGAGTTCGTCGACGCTAGAATAGAGAAGCAGCTGAACAAACCCTTTTAAAACGTTTCGAGAAGGACTCTTATGATTTTTACATTATAGAACCTAGCATCTTTTTCAAAAATAGCTTTGTTAGCAACCTGGGGATTTCCATTGATACAGAGACACCACTTCTACTCTTCGGTGATGATTGTGTATGAAAAATCTGTTGTTGTGGAAACACATTGCTCTTCGTGAGATGCAGCTCTTCATCTTGAGCGGAAACGGTAAGCCAGTTTGCACTGATGACTTTTCTCAGGGCCTGGGAAAGTCGAAAGCTAACTTTTTGAGAAAGCCTCATCAAGTGAAAATGATATAATGTTGTCATTAAGTCTATCTCAATTGTTGGCTTGATTGATGACCGTCCTTCTTTTAAATGTGCCTCCGAATGTTTCTCGTTGAAGTTAAGTGGTGTACTGAAAGCAGACAGAAATTACTAATTCAACATTTCACAAGCGGTTCTCGAGCAATTTGAATAAAGACCGCGTCTTCTCCATACACAGCACAAAAGTCGTGGGTTGCTAAGCAGCATTTCAAGCTCCCTGAAAGGCATTATGCTGGAGAAGTCGAGATTGCTGTCTATTTGTCGAGATTTATCATGGTACATTCTTTATCTTCAAACAGAACCGATGACCACAGATTTGCTGCGAAAATTCGGGGCGTATTCGAGTCCATTATAATGCATTATATATCAGTCAATATTATAACGCAACGTTTCTCATTTAGATCTACGAAAAGAATCTGCAGCAGGTCTAAAGTTAAGATGCTCAACAGGCCAAAAATGTTCACTGTTATATGAATACACGCGTGCTGTAAACATAAGCCAAAGTTTGTCTTGTTTAATCCAAAGGCCTTCTTACGCAAATAAGCACAAACCTGACAAAGATAACACGCTACACATGGATTTTGAAAATTTAAGGCAAAAAGTAAATACGTCCTTCGTTTTTCATCAGTCCAGTTCCATTCCTTTTGCCAATGACCGTCGCCGGTGCCGGGACTCCTAGGCGAATATCCAATATTCTCTGGCCCAAACCATATTTAACTAGTAGCTAGAATTTGCAAAATGCTCTGCAGCTTTCTCTTTTTCTGAGAGTTTTCTGCGTGCTATTTTTCAGTATTATCATAAAAGAACGTTTTAGAACAACTTGGTTCTTGCTTGCAAACTATCTACACGAAGTTACCGTTTTTTGAATAACTAACACGTCTCGGTCTGGCGTGATTTATTCAGCAATGTACATTTGTTTAAATGCTAAAAAGGGCTGTTTTTTTTAGATTTAAAAATTCTTATTATACAACAACCAGCGACAGTTACTGCCGTTGACTCGATCTACTTCCTGTTCAGACGGCTTTCTTCAAAAAGAAAAAAGTCCCTAAGTAAATCACCTGTATTGTAGTTTTTTTTACATAAATTTGATCCAGAACACGATTTTGCCTCTGTTTAATTTCAGTTACAGCGTACGTGCGTTCGTTAATGCCCCCTTTTTTGATACCTTCTCGCCTGCCTCACGCTTCTTCTCCTCAGTCCTGATACATGGCTAGTAGTGTTATGTCCTTATGCCGAAGTCTTCTCACTCAGTTCAACGGTCAAACGCAACGTAACTGATGCACGCCCAAGCTATGGTTATACAGCTGGCATTTAAAGCATGGCTTTTGATCAGTGTATTTCTACTCCCAGTGTTGATAGCAAAATCTGGCAAAAACAAATGACACTGGCTATATTTGACATATCAGAAATCAACTGCCGTTTTTATCCTTTCATCGTGTGTATTTGGCATTAAACGGGGAACAATGACATGGTACCCTTTTAGTTTCACCGACTGCGAAACTGTAGTTGTTGTCTTCCATCCAGCCTCATTTGCTCTTGTTCACTGTTCGCTTTCCATATTGAAGCTTCATTAAAACATAAGATGAGAAGAAGCTAATCCCAAGCCGACATTTACGAAACGTCCACATAATTTGGGAGAAGAAGTAATGTTGTGGAAACATACGAAGCGGTGAGGATGTGGAAAAGTTGTCTTTATGCGCCACTAGAGTTGGAAATAAATCTGATGACAAGAATCGCAAAAACGGTAGTCCTGACTGGAATGGAAACTTATTCATAGAGACATTTTTCTCATAGACAACCACAGAATTCTCGTCTACAGGTTTTTCAACCGTTGCTAGTCCCCTGTTCCGTTCCGTTTCAAAAACACTCCACACCACGAAATAGGGCACACTGTCGTTATTATCGGCTAGTTCCATGGGCGGGGCAAGAGGCATTCAAAAGACTGGAGAAGATGGATGCTTGGGCATTTCAATTTAACATTGGAGATTCTATTCATCTTTCGATTACATTTTTCATAATTCCGCTCGATATGTTCGTATTATTTTGAATGAACCTATAGCTCTAGAAAAGAGCACCAAAATGGCAAACGAACCAGTTTTGCCTGGGAGTTTGTGCGGCCTTCAAGGCGGCACATTTTTCATTTTCCTGGCCCGCTTTTCGTCCTTTAGCTTTCTGCTTCCCGACAGGCCTCTCAGTGACCCTACCGCTATTGGCCGAATGTTCTGCTCCATTGCATCCTCGTAGAGCCATCAAAATTTTCTCAACGCTGCGTCTTCACAGTAGGACCGCGTACTGCAGAGTACTGACAATACCATTTTGTTAACTACCTTTAATCTACATTCGTTGTGTGTATTGGTAGCATAGAGTCATGGGTCACAGGACATGGTGTTGGGTTAATTTTAAGTTGACATGATTGAATGACGTTCGTTCGTTCGTTCGAGCTAGACTTTCATGGAGTGCATTATGTTTAGCCCCACAATGCAGTAAGCATCATGGTTAGTGTCCATGTATCTCTATTATGCCTTTCAAGTTCCGGAGCTGAAACAGACTTGAGAAGCAAAAACGGAAACATGCTTGTGACAATGAGCTTCTTGAGCAAGGAGTCTTAACCTCCTTAGTTGATGGAGGAAGCCATGTCAGCAACATCTGTAGAAGTACTCGACAATAAAAATCGATCCTCTGCCCAAACGTTACAGGGCCTTAGTAGGTAGTTTGGGTTGAAAAGTGTTCTTCCTGAAGTGGGCCTAGGACAGCTCATTATGCCAAAACAGGCTAAATACAGCAGCGCAGAACCTGTCTGACAAAAATGCGAATGAAGAAGCGACCAGCTCGACTCTGCGCCGAGCGTAAGAACTGTCGCATTCTCAGACAAGTAGGTGGCAAATCTTGCATTTAGATTTCGGCTGTTATCCTCGTAAAGTAATACGAAGCGCAGCGCACGAAGCAATTATCCAACAGACTCCAACAGGTCCAACAGACCACAGAGCTTGGATGGGAATTCCTGGCAGTTGATGTGTGGCCTCATTTTCCTCAATCGCTTCTCTTGTGGCTATGTGATCAGCATAGTGTATGCTAACAAATGAGGCACGAACAATTATCTAGGTACGAGCAACCAATATTGAGGCAATGATTTAGTTCACTAATGGCGAAACGCTTTAGTCTTTTGTATAAAAGGTTTCTACTTAGCTCTTCTCGTGCCAAGGAAATCTCATATATGTTATATTTAGATATGGCCGATGCTGTATTTTATTGATAAACCAAGTTTAGAACTATGTGTTCGCAGGGTCAAGTCCACAGAGGGCAAAAAAGTACCCTTTCGAGCATTTAGCTACATACATGTGAAAGCTCATATGAAATTAAGAACGGTTGCGCACCGCATGTTTGCACTGTATTCTAAGGAGCTACAATTATTGCAGCTTTAGGCTTGTTCCTTGCGGAAACATAAAAGTCGACCATTTGTTATAGTCTATTGACAGTTCGAGCATAGTATTCAGAGGTCCGACTGAATTGCCCGAACGGTCTTAGACTAAATGTGAAACTCTATTTCTGACCAATCATAGGCACAACTTCAGCCTCAACCCGAATGCGGTTAAAGATATTAGGATTCTCTAATTGCCTAACGCAGATTTACTAATAACCTATAATCATTGAGAAAAAATAATTACTAAAATTTTGCTTCTGCTGTTAACTTCTAAATTTAAAATTGAGTAGATAAAGCAAGGTGAAATCTTTGTGTGGTACAAATCTGTCAGAGCACAAAGTTTGTTGCGGTTTTGAAGCATGTTTACCTATTTATGCGTGGTTTGTAACATTGATCTGTCTCTTGTTGTATCTAGAGCGTGAAAGATTTGCATAAATAGGGAGCCACGGATGCTGACCTCTGAGTAAACATATATGCACACGAGGTACAAGACGATTTCACCAAAGGGCAGAGCAAAGTATTTGTTGGTTTCACTCCATGCATTGTTCCTAGGGCAACACTGCTGTACAGCACGGACAGGTTAGTCAATCACTACTCTTACGTCTCTCTCAATTACGTTGTCGAGCAGTAGAGTACTATATATGGTATATAAGACTGAAATAGCACGATTTGTTAAGTCTCAATGTTCTTAAATTGTGAACCCTAGTCCAGCAATAACCAGTACTTTAGAATACGCTTCGTGAAGCTTTTGCCAGACTTCTCCGGCATATACTCACGACCCATCTTGATTAACCCAGAATAAGTTTGTTCGAAACATGTACTTTATTTGTCTATCTAAGTATCTAAGCTTAAATATTATTCTTCATCGTAAATCTAACGAGAATAATCGAACAACTGTTTGAATTGTTAATATATTTCAGAGATTTACTACGGAAGCAGTTATTGCAGCTACTTCTGCTCAACCACGTCAGGTTCGAACTAGATCCCACGTTCTATTACGTCTAAGGCTTTTATAATGTGAAAGGTTCCATCGATGATAGGACCAACTAGTTTTTGAAACCAATGCAGATTCAATGAAAGCACAAAAAGTATGCAAAAAAAACAAATAAATATGCCAATCATATGAGTGCTCTTCTTCCTCTAGACGCAGTTTGAGTAATCAACTTTGACTGGTTAATATAACAACTAATGAGGTAAGATACCCTACAATCATTTATGACAAACTGTTCAGGGTCTCCCGGAGTGAAGAAAATAATTTCATAACATTTTATTGATTACTATTCATTCCGTCAACTTTTACAGATTTCGTAAAGTTATTGGAGTCTGAAGAATGCCAATACATTATGACAGGCTACAAGGGAAGAACATAAGTGTTAAAAAGTACACATCGTATGTGAGCTATTATGGCTTACGTGCAGTGGATTAGCTCAGCTTACATAGCATGAGTTATTAGAGGTTCAAACATCGTTTCTTTACTGACACAGCTGTTGAAGAATTGTGAATAAGACATGATGTTGTAACTTCGTCAATTATAGGGCGTGTAATTATAGAACAAAGTTGCAGGGTGCTCCTTGCAACAATAAAGCATGTTACACTTTTCTGAAGATGTTGAAACTATCGGAAAAGTTAGTCACCCCTGCCTCCATCTACAAAAATGAAGCCGCTTGCCCTAAGGCCATGTTGCAGTGTGTTCTGGGACAGCTGATAATTAGGGCTCTGGATTTCTTATGAGTGCGCTTCAGGGAAACTTGGGATGGATTAGTTTACATCCATAAATTTGAATATCTCATCACATCGCATAGCAGTTCTAGTCGTGAATCGTACTTCACATCTCTGTCGTTTTCCTATTTACATAGCCGCTTTCGAGTATTTCGAGCATCAGGCAAGCAAGCTCGTTTATGCAGAACCAGCTGGCCCGCCATTCACCCATAGATGATATACAAATTTCGTGTACGGGTGACACTTGCGTTTTTCGGGGGTACCGCTTGAAAGGGAATGAGTTAGAGGTAGCTGGAACTTCCGCAAGGTATCAAAGGTTAGAGAGGCGCGGGAGGATTTGCATGAGAAGTACTTTTACTTTCCATACTCCAGTCATCCGGCTAAAATATTAGAGCCAAAGGGTAAATAAAATCAGGTTTACGATTTTTTTTCTGTTTTTCGCGCGCTCTCCGTTGCTTCCTCAAGACTCCGATTTTGGATGTATACGTTTAGCCACATAGGCATATTGATGTGTATATTATGTGAATACATCGTACAATGGAGCCTAATTTCCGTTAAGCGTACAACGGTCATCAGTATGCAAACAGGGAATCTCGTGTCTAGTGTAAAATTACTTAATCATTCAGTCCACGCATGTATTTCATCAATGATAGTTACGTACCCAGCGCATTATCAGGTTATTATCGTCATTGGCTTACTGGTTCGTATGAGATGTTTTAAAACGGAATGATTCATAAAGGGTTGACGCTTACGTTTGTACTGAAACAATGACTGGCAGAAACAGCTCTTAACAGAGCATAATGCGCAATCATCTCAATGGCGAGGGGAGAAAGAGCGACTGAGGAACATTTTAACGATGCTGTTGAAAGCACAAAGCAGAAACGCACTATGGGAACTGGGATCGAGCCCAAAAACTAGTGGAATACCATTGCAATAATGGTTATATCTTGTGTTCATTTTTTACGTTGTTGAATAATCTATGAAAGAGCTTTGTTGATATATCCAATGTCCATTAGGTCACAACCACGAAAAAGATAATACGTCACACTTTAGGAGTTGCTATAAGCAAATTCGGAAATTTTAAACAAATTCTATAGTCTCACAGATAAAATTCTATGCCGACTAGTCTTTCATAACTAGATATGAGGAAGATGAAACGAAGTTATATTTACTAACATGCCCAGGATATTCAAGCAAGTTGTCACTGTCAAATTTGCCCACACAACTACAGAAACAGCAATTCTTCTTTTATCTATCTCTTACACTATAGATATAAAGTGTGTTTTTTAATGAGCGTCTCTTCTTCTTCTTGTCAATATGCAGCTCGGTCCTGTGCATTAAAAGTATCGAACTGTCATCCTGCAGGCTGGCTGCCTTCATCAATTTCTATTAATTGATACAGGCGTGTTGGTAGCGCATATCACCTCATCAACCCTCTACGGAAATGTGGCCTTGATTCGATGGAATGATGCTACCGTAGACTGCATCAACACACAGTGTTATCCATTCACACGTTCATCTATGGACATGGAATATATGCATAGAAGGCGAAGGAAATTTCCAGCATCAGGCACGCGTCATAATGCGCTTGGGCGTCGTACCACAATCTAGCAGAATACTGTCACTATTGCAGTATTGTAAACTTACACTAGTTACACGTATATATACATAGGACAGGGTTATATAGGCCAAGGGCTATTTGATTACGCGTGAAGAAGTCACTTATTCAACAACATTAAGGGAAAAGTGCTTTATTTCAAAGGGACTGTGACTCTAGCTGAAAAAGACCATATTTATAGTTCTGTCATTGCGCAGTTTCAAATGGGCCAAACACCGACATGTACACGAGTTGTATTTTATACGAGAAAGGAAAAGGAACGATAACAATAAGTACAGCGACCTCCACGCTCAAGGTTGCCGTCTGACGTCTGTATCACTATCGCGATCGTATATAATAAGTAACCACCCATGCTAAATTCTTGTCTATGATCCTGACTATCGGCAGTGTGGTCAGGCTTTGTCGGAATGATATGTCATGCTAATAGAATCAAAAAGAGATTACATATGGCATGTTGTTGACCACAACGACAAAAGGTATCATCAGCATAAAAGTACGACACTTCAGTTTTACTTGACAAATACACTCATACACGGATTTCTTTTAAGCTCAATTGTATTCTGAGGCTGCTTGATTTTTTCTGGTTGATCTTTCTGTACAGTTGCCATCGACGGCCTTCTATTTCATATATGCTCGAAATTCCATAGTTTCACTCCGCTCTGGTCCTTAAGGATATAACTCAAATATAGTAATCTTTACTACAGCACACACAGAAGCAGTTTAGTGATCGTACTTGTTTAACAGTATCCACTCGTGTCAATCTACCTCAGTTTAACGCCTTAAATCGGAAGGCGCCCTGGCCAGTTCTCGAACTCTGCCGCGGCTGATTCAGCTGCCTCGAAGCATATGGAACAGCCACCATCATTAAAAGACTTCGAGAATAAGAGTCTTAGGAGGGTATTTGTCAGCAAACTTCAAAGAGACCGGTGGTGGTCTCTTTCCAGCAGCGCTAGAAAAGATAAAGCTGCGGTGGTGGAGAAGGACAACGACGACACGCAAGAAAGTTGAGGATACGCACATAAGACCGCTTTCGCTCATCCCTGCTGCTGTTACTGATGCTGCTGCTGTCTGCCCCATGGCGCGCGTGACCTTCGGACCTCGATGCCCAACGAAACGGAAGAAACTGGTGCCCGGTTTTAGAGAAACGGAAAAAAAGGCTCAATGTGCAGAAAGATATTACGCGAGCGTTATCCGTTTTTTTCTGTCTAAAGGCCTTCTTTGCCACAAGAAACTCAAATACCTTGGCCTCTAAGCTGTGACAGCTTGAATCTTTTCGGTCATTCTTTTCTCGCTTCGTTTTTTGTCTGGAGCGCCCAAATATTTGTGAGCTTGCGAGTTCATCCATTTGTTCGAGCGTCTGCCCATGCGTATGTGTGTGTATTCGCCTAAGACAATGGAAGAGTCGTCAGCTAGCACGTCCCATAGAAGCGAAAAGAAAGCGTTGAAGAAAGGGGAAAAACTGCCAAGCTCCTAGGAATGAGGCAGGAGTAATGCACATGGGGCCTATGGGGGACGGAAAGGAATTGCTTATGTATGCGATGGTTGTGAATGACCGACGTGGCAACCGGGAAAGGTAGTGCAACTCCTCGTGTGATCAGGTTAACGCTGATGCCTGATGATGTCCTGCGGGACCGAGAAAGCGAAATGAGGTGGTAACCATACGATAGGACACACCTGTCCATTCACACACACACACACACGCACACAAGCCCATACGCAGACCAGTCCACGCCGCTTTATGGGCAGGAGCTTGCACCTTCAAGTAACTGCTGCGATGGCGTCGCGGTATAAGCAACAACGGCAACTCGTAGGATTCTTTGCTTTTACAAAAAATTGTCTTCCGCGTTGTTCCCCTCATGAGTGACGTAAGCTTCAGCAGAAAGTAGTTAAAAGAGCCTACATTGTCCAAACAGACAGATCGTTCTGCAGCAGCGGGACTTCGTGTTCTCATCGCAGTAGCCCTTCTATCATCCGGCTCAAAAGCAAACGCTTTCGTGACGAGGTCTATAGTTGTTTTTAGCTCGGAAAATAACACTTGAAGAACCTTATCTGGAGAAAGGTACTTTAAAGAC